ACACAGCAATTTCTCAAACTTGTAAAAGAGGCCAGATAGCAAAAGCTTTGCCATTGATTTATACTGCAAATGTAGGTATTCTTGGGAAGGAGTTAAGATGGAGAAGTAGGTGGAAGCTAGGCTTTCTTTTTCCCTCATATATAGCTGTGTTGAGGTCAGATCACTTGGAACACCCAGAAAATTGATCTGAAGGCTGGCAGAAGTATTTTCACAGTTGGACAGAGACTGGCAGGTGCAAGGGCGTGGAAGTGAATTGGGGGAGAGAAAAATGGTGGTGCCACAGAGGGGAGGGAGAGGCAAAAGGGAGAGAAAGGAGATGACAGAGTGCCGTGTCGGATTTGCAGAAGAGAACTCTCCCGACCATGAACGGGTGGGTGAGCTAGAGTTATTGAGTGGCACAGGTTTTTTGCAAACTGTGGAGCTCAAACTCTGGTTTAGAAAGTATGCAACTTTCTCTGGAGGGGAGCTGTGGTGCATGCTCTCAGGGAGGCAGAAGGAGCTGGTGGATGCATAGCGGAATGTAAGGATCTCAATTGCACAAAAGACTCTGCAGGTGTCAGCAAAACGCCTTTCATAGGGGGCAGAGGTGTGGGCTGAGGGCAGATAACCTAATTGCAGCTTTTTGCGGTGCTACATCATAGAGTCCATGCATTGCACAGGTGTGGGAATTTTTCTGGGACAAAGAACAACACTGTCTACAGGATAGGGAGAGAGGGGTGAGTCTGCATGGTGCCAGGTCCTTTAAGATTTTGAGTCCCAGGTGCATATCAAAGAACGACAGGAGAGCTGTAGCGCAGGATGCAACAACTGCCCTATTATGTGAGGGTTTCCTAAACAGTGGGGGGTGTGAGATCCCCTGTCGAAGGACCAGAGAATGTGGTGACATTTTCGTCAACACCAACCCGGTGGGATTCAAAGAGCAACACAGTGGCCCCCAGTGGAGGCAGAACCCACTTTCACCAAACCCCCTTGCCTTGTGCCTGTCAACTGCATACTTTCTAGGGCAGAATGGACTCTGAGCACAACAGGCCTCTCTTCCAGAAGACCAGCATAGGCAGTACTCTGCATGTACCAAGTGAATTGAAAATAGAGTGCTTCAAAGCCTCACCTGCAGTTCTCGTGGAAATAGGGTCAGGCTTACTGTTTTGTTTCTTTTCTTTTTTTTTCCTTTGGAATCAGACTTACAGATTTTTGTTTTTTCATTTCCTTTTCTCTCTTTTTTTTTTTTTTTTTTGTTTGATTCAGGCTTCTTTTTTTCTCTTTCCTTTTTTTTCCCTTTCTTTGGAATCAGGTTTATAGTTCTTTGGCTTTTTCATTCCTTTACATTGTCTCTTTTTTGGGGATGAAGCTTTTTTTTTTTTTTTTACCATGCTTATCTTAAATCAAAGTACGCCTAGTTAAAGGTCCATACACTTCCCACTGTAAGCAAGGAACTCTGCTGAGGACTGACAAGTGGGAAAGAGCAGCCAAAACACAACAGCAAAGTGCACACAGCATACACCAGAAACCTTCCTGAAGCACCAGGCCCTGGACTGTGTATGACTCCTTTTTAATATAGCCTTACTCTCAGGTGCAGAAAGCATAACAAGCTTTCAAAACATACAAAATACAGAAACATAGGCAAAATTACAAGATGGAGGAATTATCCCCAAAAGAAAGGTAAAGAAGAAATCACAGCCAGGAACTTGCTCAGAAGATTACTAGCTGGGCTTGAAAAAAGCATAGAAGACACCAGAGAAATCCTTGCTGCAGAGATCAAAGACCTAAAAACTAGGACAAAATAAAAAATGCTATAACTGAAATGCAAAACTGACCGGATACAGTCACAACATGGATTTAAGAAGCAGATGAGAGAATAGGTGATAAAGAAGAAAGACTTAGGGAACTCAAGGATTCCATAGAGTAAAATATCGGTATCTAAGGAGTCCCAGAAGAAGAGCAGGAAAAGGGGGCAGAAGGTTTATTCAAACACATTATAACAGAGAACTTACCTAATCTGGGAAATGAAACGGGCATTTAAGTACAAGAAGCACAGAGAACTCTCCTCAAAATCAACAAAAACAGGTCAGCACCACAACATATCACAGTGAAACTTACAAAAAAAAAAAATACAAAGAGTTCTGAAAGCTAGGGACAAAAGGTCCTTAACTTACAAGGATAGACACAAAAGGTTAGCAACAGACATGTCCACTGAACATGGCAGTCCAGAAGGGAGTGGCAGGAAATATTCAATGTGCTAAATGGGAAGAAAGTGCAGCCAAGAGTTCTTTATCCAGCAAGAATTAGAAGGAGAGAGAAAGAGTTTCCCAGACAAAAATTAAAGAGTTCATGACCACTAACCCAGCCCTGCAAGAAATTTTAAGGAGACTTGAGTGGGGGGGGGGGGGGGAGGGACGGCCAAAGCAATAAAGACTAGAAAGGACCAGAGCACATCACCAGAAACACCAACTCTACAGGTAACATAATTACACTAAATCCATATCTTTGAATAATCATTCTGAATGTAAATGGAGTAAATGCTCCAATCGAAAGACACAGGGTATCAGAAGGCATTAAAAAAAACCCAAGATCCATCTATATGCTGCCTATAAGAGACTCATTTTAGACCCAAAGTCACCTCCAGATTGAAAGGGGATGGAGAACCATCTATCATGCTAATGGAAGTCAAAAGAAAGCCAGAGGAGCCATACTTACATCAAAGTAGAGTTTAAACCAAAGACCATAACAAGAGATGAAGAAGGGCATTATCTCATAATTAAGGGGTCTATCCATCAAGATCAATTGGGGAATACCCAAATATATAAATTAGTTAATCACAAACATAAAGAAACATTGCTAATGATACAATAATAGTAGAGGACTTTAACACCCCACTTACAACAATGGACAGACCATCTAAGTAGAAAATCAATAAGGAAACAATGGCTTTGAATGACAACTGCATCAGACGGACTTAACAGGTATATTCAGAACATTTCATCCTAAGGCAGCAGAATACACATTCTTCTCAAAGGCACATGGAACATTCTCCAGAATAGATCACATGCTGGTCACTGACAATAGGTACAAAATTATCTAGATCATACCATGCATATTTTTGGATCACAATGCAATGAAACTTGAAATCAACCACAAGAAAGAATTTGGAAAGACTACAAATACATGGAGGTTAAAGAACACTCTACTATAGAATGAATGGGTTAATCAGGAAATTAAGAAATAAAATACATGGAAGCAAATGAAAATACAACAGTCCATCTGAACACTGGATGCAGCAAAGGCAGTCCTAAGAGGAAAGTACCTTGCAATTCAGGTCTATCTCAAGAAGCAAGAAAGGTCCCCAGTACACAACCTAACCTTATGCCGAAAGGAGCTAGAAAAGGAGCAGCAGATAAAGCCTAAAGCCAGCAAAAGAAGGAAAATAATAAAGACTAGAGCAGAAAAAAATGATACAGAAATCAGACCAAACCAAACAAAACCAGTAAAACATGAACAAAACTGAGCTGGTTCTTCGAAAGAATAAACAAAATTGATAGCCCCCTAGCCACTTACCAAAAAGAAAAGGGAAAGGACTCAAATCAATTAAACCACAAATGAAGGAGGAGAGATCACAATGCCACAGAAATATATTGCTAATTTAACACATTGAACATACAAAGAATATGAAACCCTTTTACAAATCTGAAAATTTTCCATACGTTCTACAGAAATTTTTGACAAAAAAATAAAACTACTTTCGGCATTTTGTGCCCACACAATCTAACCAGATTAGCACCACCATAAATTCAGATTTATTGGAAACAGAAGACTAAATCCTCTTGATTGGAAATTGAGATGTTAAGATGACTGACTTGACTTTCATTTGTAGAAACTGAGTATGAGTTTGCTTAATGAAAATCCTAAAATAAAACATAGTAAGCATTAGTAATAACATCCTTGTTAAGTGAACAAAATTCTACATTATGTAAAGAATGTATTAACAGAAAATTATTGTAATATTGGCCTTATATAGTGAAATATTTGCAAAACATGTTATTTTTGTTTTATATATTTTACTTCTACCCTACACAGTAAAAGAAGTTACAAGAATATATGCTACTGTAAAGTAGAAAACATTAGCAGAATCCAATAAACTTCATTTAATATTTGGTATTAGGAGGGTATGGAGCATTTTCGTCTCATTAAAAGTTTATGTAAACTGTCCTCACAACCAGCAAAAAAGGCAAGATTGATAAATTCCTTAACTTTAATTTTAAACACAATGATCAGAGGTGCCTGGGTGGCTCAGTCGGTTAAGCATCAGACTTCGGCTCAGGTCATGATCTCATGGTTCATGGGTTTGAGCCCCATATTGGGTTCTGTGCTGTCAACTCAGTGCCTGGAGTCTGCCTTGGATTCTTTTTCCCTCTCTCTCTGCCCCTCTCCCACTCATACTCTCTCAAAAATAAACATTAAAAAAAATTTTTTAATAAAAAATAAGCACAATGATTAGAGTGAGGATAATTTTCTTAACATTTACACAGTACTTACAAGTCTAACCAAAATTCACCATATATGTATCTAAAACATACTCTGTTGAAGGCCTTGTCATGGTACTACAATTACAGACAGGAGTGAAAAATAAGTGACCTGAGTGACACCAGCAAAATGGTGGACTAGGACAATCTAAGCTCTTGTTCCCCAACAAAACCAACAGCAACTATATGAACCAGCACTGTCAGAACTCTGGAAAACAATAAAAGATTACAGCAAACCATGTCCAGTGAAGAAAAATCATCTTCAAAATGATAGGAAAATTTTGAGATATTTTACTTGCCTTTGTCCCAGTGCAGTGGCAGTCTTATTTAAAAAGTGGCAGAGGCCTGTCTTATTTAAAAAGTGGCAGAGGTTTCCAGTTCCTACCTTCAAACCAGAAGAGGTAGACTTTATTTGCAAATTATTGTGTATGTCTTAAGTGCTCACCTCTATTTTTCCATTAACTTGGAAATCAGGCAGGAAGAGTGGCAGGCATTACTTGTAAAAGCCGCAAGGTGACTACAGACTCAGATACCTGGGGCGATCAATTATTGGTGGAGACAGAATAGGTCATATAAGGCCTAGGGAAGAAGATAGGGTGAGAGTTTTTGAAAACTGGACATTCAGAAATAGCTCTATATGAGGGGAGGATGGGATTTAGAATGCCATATGCACATCCAGGCAAAACACATGCTCAGAAAAGATCTAAGACCTTAAGTTTTCACCTCAGTCAGATCCCTAGGCTCAGAGTAAGCCTAGCTACATACATATTGCAGGAATGCTCTAGCACCCATCTAATCTGCAAAGACAGAGAACTGGCATTTAAGGAAAACTGTCAAAACAGCTGAACATGAGGTAAACAGAACAGAGATGATCTCACAAAACAAGGTCTTTGTAAAAATACTTTGGAATAGTCTCAAAGTAAATGGAAAACAGCTTGCAGCAAATCAAAAAGAAAAAAGAAGGGGCGCCTGGGTGGCGCAGTCGGTTAAGTGTCCGACTTCAGCCAGGTCACGATCTCGCGGTCCGTGAGTTCGAGCCCCGCGTCGGGCTCTGGGCTGATGGCTCGGAGCCTGGAGCCTGTTTCCGATTCTGTGTCTCCCTCTCTCTCTGCCCCTCCCCCGTTCATGCTCTGTCTCTCTCTGTCCCAAAAATAAATAAAAAACGTTGAAAAAAAATTAAAAAAAAAAAAAAAAGAAAAACCTGGTAAACCCTGGTGACAGGAAAATCCTATATCTAGAATTACCATATTATAATAGTGAAATGCCCAATTTTCAAAAGCAGAAAATAACAAGTCATACAAAGAAAAAGAGAAAACAGGTCTATTTAGAGGAACAGAAACTGACCCTGAGGAAGTGTGTACATTTTGAACTTACTAGACAGAGACTTAAATATATTCAAAGAAATACAGGAAATCAAGAAAATGAATAAAATGAGAACATGAACAAAGAAATTAAAAGAGGATCAAAGAAATTCTGGAGCAGAAGGTACAATAAAGATTTTCACTAGAGGGTGAATTTCAATAACAGATTTGAACAGTTTGCAAAGCTCATCGCACTCCAAATAGGAGAAAGTCAAAAGAGACCCACCAAGACACATTAGAATCAGTCTATCCAAAGCAAAAGACAGAATATTGAAAGCAGGAATGAAAAGGGATCCTCAATAAGGTTGTCCAGTTTTCATCAGAAACCTTGGGGACCAAAAGACAGTGGGGTTTGATATATTCAAATTACTAAAAGAAAAAAAAAAACTGTCTACCAAAACTATCTGACAAGACTCCTTCAAAAATGAGGGAGAAACTAAAACATTACCAGACAAAAACAGAAGGAGACAGATTCCACTACACCTGCCCTGAAATAAGTGCTAACTTCAGGTTGAATGAGAAGGGACAGTAGACAGGAACTCAAGGTCATATGAAGAAATAAGATTTCTAATTAAAGTATACATGGGCAAGTATAAAAGCTAGTATTATAATTTTGATTTGTAGCTCTACTTTTCATTTTGTACATAATTTAAGAGACTTAAAATAGTTACTTGTCTATGTTTTCAGATGCACAATACTTAAAGATGTAATTTTGTGACATTAATAACCAAAAGGGGGTGAAAACAAGGTTATATATAAGAAAAGAGTTTTTGTACACTTAAGCTGCCATAAACTCAAATTAGAGTGTTATTAATTTAGGATGTTAAATGGAATCCCTAAGGTAACCACAAAGAAGTAGCTATATAATAATACAGCTATGAGGAATAATAATATAATACAGGAAATAATAATAATACAGGAAATGAGAAAATGTTTTACTACAAAAAAATTCAACTAAAACACAAAAATCACATCGAAAATGAGCAAAAAGCTATAAGGCACATAAATAGTATAACATTAGTCCCTCAATAATTACTTTCTGGGTGGCTCAGTCAGTTGAGTGTCAGACTTCAGCTCAGGTCATGATCACATGGTTTGTGAGTTCGAGTCCCACAATGGGTTCTGTGCTGATGGCTTGGAGCCTGGAGCCTGGAGCCTGCTTCGGATTCTGTGTCTCCTTCTCTCTCTGCCCCTCTGCCACTAATGCTCTGACTCTCTCTCTCTCAAAAATGGATAAACATTAAAAATAAATAAATAAATAAATAAATAAATATAGATGGATTAAACTCCAATTAAAAAAACAGAGACTAGTGAAATGGATTTAAAAACATGACCTAACTGCAGTCTACAAGAGACTGACTTCAGATCTAAAGTAAAAGGATGGATAAAGATATTCCATGCAAATAGTCCCCAAAGGGAGTAGTGGTGGCCATACTATCATTAGACAAAAAAAGACTTTAAACCCAAAAAGCTTACAAGAAACAATGAAGGACATTATCTACTGATAAAAGGTTTAAAATACATCAAAATTAAACAGTTATAAACATTCATGCATCTAATAACAGAGCCTCAAAATATATTCAGCAAAACACAACATAACAAAACGTATGTGATGCAACAAAAGCACTGCTAAGGAAATCCATAGCTGTAAATGCTTACCTTGAATATATAAATATAAATATATGAAATAAACATTCTAAAAAGACCCAGGAAAAAAATAAACCTAAAGCCAGTGGAAGATTAAAACTGAAATAGGCAAGATAGTGTTTCAAAAAGATTTTAAGAGTGGAAAAATCTTAATTAGAACATGAAAAAAAGGTTTCAACTTACTAAAAGCAGATATAAAAGTAGGGGTATTAGTAATTATTCTACAGAAATAGAAGGATTAGAGTACAATTATCAGCAGCTATAAATTGGATAACCCAGATGAAGTGAATATATTTCCTAGAAATACAAGGACTGACTCATGAACAAATAAAATCTATATGGACCTATAAGTAGGAGACTGAATTAGTAATCAAAACCCTCCCAACAAAGAAATGCTCTGCAACTGATGGCTTCACTGAAGAATTCTACCAACCATTTAAACAAGAAATAACACCAGTCCTCAAACTATTCCAAAAAATTCAAGAGAAACTTTCTAACTCATTCTATAAAGCCAGCATTACCTTGGCACTAAAGCCAGACTACAAAAGAAGGGGGAAGAAAAGCTATAGCTTAATATCCCTGATGAATATTAATGCAAAAATCCTAAACAAATTATTAGCAACTGAAACATCACATTAGAAGTTCTATATACTTTGAACAAGTGGATTTATTTCTGCAATTCAAGAAGAGTTCAACAAGTGAAAATGAATTAATATACTATATTGACAGAATGAAGAGGGAAAAACCCATATGACAACATCAACTGATACAGAAAAAGCATTTGACAAAAATTTGACAGGATTTTTTATTTTTTTAAATATTTTTAAAAAAATATTTTGAGAGAGAGAGAGAGTGGGAGGGACAGCATGAGCAGGGGGAGGGGCAGGGAGGGTGAGGGAGAATCCCAAGCAGGTTCTGCAGTACAGAGCACCACCCTATTACAAACCAACAGTGGCCCCAGACTGATCCTTTAACAGCACAAGGACCAAACCCTGACCACAACAGGCAAAGTAGGCCACTGCAGCTGACTGAACTGAATGCAAATTCAGTTCATTAGGATTTACACAACCCACATAGCAGACACCCCTGAAATGCTTGGTTTTGGGGAACAATGAACATTGCACTATAGGGCACCACAGTACCTCTTCTTCATAAGGCCACTGCTTTAAAGATCAGGAACTTTAGCTGACTTTCCTAACACAGAGAAACACAGAGAGTTACAAAAAATTAGGAGAAAAAGGAATATGTCCCAATGAAAGAACAGGACAAAAATCACAACAAAAGAGAAATAAAACAGAGAAGCAATATACCTGAAAAAGAATTCAAAGTAATCATCATAAAGATACTTATTGGACTTGAGAAAAGAGTGGAGGACATCAGTGAGACCCTTAACAAAGATTTTTTAAAAAGAACTAATCAGCAATGAGAAACACAGTAAATGAAATTAAAAATACACCAGATGGAATAAATAGTAGGCTATGGGAAGCAGAACAACAAATCAGGTACTTGCAGGGGAGAGGAATGGAAAGTAATCAAGCTGTGCATATGAGAGGGAAAAAATTATGCAGAGTGACAATAGACTTACGGAACTCAACGACACCACCAAACATAATAACATTCGCATTATAGGGATCCCAGAAGGAGAAGAGAGAAGGGGGCAGAAAATTTATTTGAAGAAATAACTGAAAACTTCCCAAATCTAGGGAATGAAGCAGAAATCCAGATCCAAGAGGCCCAGAGATACCTCAACAACTTCAACCCAAGAAGGTCCACAAGACACAAGTAATTAAAATGGCAAAAAGTAATGAAAAAGAGAAAATTTTTAAAGGAACAAAGATAAAAGAAAGCAAATAAATAAGGGGAAACCCCATAAGGCTATTAAGCTGATTTTTCAACAGAAACTTTCCAGGCCAGAAGGGAGTAGCATGACATATTCAATGTGCTGAAAGGAAAAAAAATCTGCAACCAAGAATACTCTATCCAGCAAGGTTATCATTCAGAATTGAAAGAAAGATAGAGAGTTTCCTAGACAAACAAAAGAGTTTGTGACCACTAAACCAGCCCTACAAGAAATATTAAAGGGGACTACTTGAATGGAAAGAAAAGAGTGTAAGAGTATCAAAACTAGGAAACAAAAACAGTAAAAGCAAGTAGATCTGTAAAAATCAGTCAAGGAACTCACAAAATAAAAGGATATAAAGTATGATACCATAGACCTAAAACATGGCAGGGCGGCGGGGAAGAGTAAAGATTGGGTTCAAACTTAAACAACCAGAAATTTAATATAGACTAATATATAAAGAAAATGTTATGTACAAACCTAATGGTAACCATGAATCAAAAGACAGTAATAGATATGTGAAAAATAAGGAGAAAGGAATCCAAGTATATCGTTAAATAAAGACAACTAATCATGCAAGAACAGTGTGAGAGAAGAAAGCAACCACAAATCAAGTTAACAAAATGGCAAAAATAAATATCTATCTATAATTATTTTGAATGTAAAAAGATTAAATGTTCCAATCAAAAGACACGTGATGGAATGGATAGAAAAATGGATAAAAACAAAAC